CTCTCTCTCTCTCTCTCCTTCCCAGTCATCACGAGGTCAACAATTCTCCTCCAGTATGTGTTCCTGCCATGATTTACTGTGCTGCCACAGGCCCAAAGGCAACAGAGCCAAGTGACCATGGACTGAAACCTCCAAAACTGCAGGCCAAAATGAAGCTTTACTTCCACTGCCAATCAGCTTTTAAGTTAATCATCTCAGATACTTTGTCCCAGTGACCAAAAACTCATTAACAGAGGATGGCTGTGTTCCAATAAAATTTTACTTACAAAAACAAGCAGGGTGCCAGATTTGGTCCACAGGCTATGATTTGCAAACTCTCGGGATGACAGAAGGCCAGGGGATGGAAAGGATCATGCAAGAGAGGAGAGGAAAATTGGCAAGAGAGCTAAGGGGACCCTGACAAAAGAAGAGCCCTTGAAGTCCTCCAGGGATGGAAACAAGATTTCATTAATGTCTTTTCATAGTTCACCTGTCAGGAAGAATAGGGTAGAATTGTCCGTGCAGGACTTGGGGAGTAGCTCAGTGGCAGAGCATTTGCTTAGCATGGGCAAGGGCCTAGGTTCAACCCCAGCATCACAGAAAAGAAAGGTTTGTGTAGCTAGAAAGGTGTCTCTGTCATCTCAGGGTTGGCCTGCATCCATGCTGCTCGGTTTAGCAGATGCTGCTGGCCAGATGCCAGCGTGTGGTTAGCTGAATGTGATTTGCTCATCCTGAAAACAGCAGGTATAGACAGCACTTTCTCAGTGCCATGGCAACCAGATCAAGGTTTTCTATAAGAGGTGGATCAGATCAGCCAGTGCATCCCTCCAGGCACTGATCCCACAGTGTGCCCGGAGCTCTTTTCAGAGCCAGACCCTGAGCCAAGTGCTTGGAATACAAAGAAGCATCAACTCAAGTCCCTGTTTTTCAGGAGGAGACAGACATGTGCAGCAAATGGTGCAATACTTGATTAGATACTTGATGCCATGAAAGGGTGCCCGGGGAGCTGAGAGTGGGCCCCTTCTCTTAGGGAGTGAGGAACTGGCCCCTTGGGCTTCTCTGAAAAGCTGAGATGAGCTGAATTTTGGAGAATCAGCCAGAGTTGATCAAGAGGATGAATTGTGGGTGGGAGTGAGAAAACAGAAGCTTGAACACTGACAGCTTTGGTGAAGGGCAAGTGTGGCCAGAGTGTGGGGTCTCCAGAGTGTGAGAGATAGGCACAGAGAGGCGCCAGCCAGGTGATGCTGACACTGACTTTGTGGGGCTGGTGCAGCCTACTGACCACTCCAGTGGCATTTCCCAGCCCACTGCTACCTCTCCTTTCTTTAAAAAAATCCTGATCTCACGAGGCCACTGTCTCCTGAGGTTTCTTCTGCACTTGTGCCTATTTTTCCTCACTCTTCTCATTTATGCTGTCACTTCCTTAGATTCTAGTCTCCTCTTCATGATTCACTCTGCTTAGGTTTGTAGGAACCCCACATTGCTCTTTTCCATCTCCCTTGGTCTTTGCACCTTCTTCTTCCACAAGATGGGCACCCTCTGTGTGTCTGAGAATGTGGCCTCCAGAATCCCAGTGTGGCAATCCCTGTGGAAATATTTACCCCATAGCCATCTATCAATCCTAGGGACAGACTTGATTGCCAGTGGTTGGTCATGTGCCTACCCAGAGACCCATCACTGTGACCTGAGTGACAGGGCAATATGATTTATGAGGCAGGAAATAAGATTGCATGATTGGCCCCATCAAAGGCACAAAGAAAGGAGAGGCACTTCCCAAAGACAGGAGGATCCAGAGGAAGCAAGAACTATACAACAGAAACAATGAAGAACTCATGACAGAGGGATAACCCATCAGGGGAAAGAGAATTCTAAAGAATGCATAAGCATACCTGCAATCCCAGAAACTTGGGAAGCTGAGGTAGGAGGATGGCAAGTTCAAAGCCAGGCTCAGCAACTTAGCAAGGCCCTAAGCAACTTAGTGAGACCCTGTCTCTAAATAAAAAATAAAAAGGTCTGGGGATGTGGCTCAGTGGTTAAGTGCCCTGAGTTGAATCCCTGGCACACACACACACACACAAAAAAAAAAAATCACAAAGAAATGAATGGATAAAATAAAATGTGATACTACTATGGAATATTACTCATAAAAAGAATGAAATTCTGATACATGCTATTATATGGATGAAACTTAAAAACATATGTTAAGTGAAGTAAGTCAGACACCCCAGTGTAAATAGTGTGTGATTTCACTCATATGAAGTACCTAGAGTGCCCAGCAAAAGTAGAATAGCGATTCCCAGGGGCTGGTAAGAGGGGAGAATGGAAAGTTACCATATAATGGATATGGAATTTCTCTTGGGGATGAAGGAAAAGTTCTAGAAATAGTGGTGATGACTGCACAATACTGCAAATGTTCTTAAGGCTGCTGAATTATGCACTTAAAATAAATAATGTTAAATTTTATGTTATAATGTTTTTACCATAATAAAAATATACAGGACTAGGGGACATAGGTAGCAGACACAGTTAGGGCAGAGCACCCAAGGAAGAAACCAGTTGGGAAAAGGCCCTCTCCAAGGATGAGATTCAGACTCCATAGAAAAGGTATGGCTGTAGCCCACAGAGAAGTCGGTGGAGATACAGAGGCCCGGTAGCATCAGCATACCCGTCCACAGGGGTGCTGACCACACTCACTAAGAAGCAGCTCTGAGAAGAGCCAGTGGCACTCCCTAGGACTTCACCCACAGCGTGCTACGGAGACTCACTGGGAAGCCACTGGGGCTTTAGTAAACCTTGGCAGAAGCCTACTATGAGGACACTGTTAAATTTGCTGGAGAGTTGGCTAAAGTGCTGGCTGAACTCCCTAGGTGTGTTGCTGATCCCACTGAGGGAGGAGCACCCCTGGGTGTTCCATGTGCCAATCAAATGCTGCAGGAAACAAGGAAAGGCACACCAGACAGAAAGGGAAGCCCTGTCCCTCAAGCACCCTCCAGTGACAGCACTAAACATGGTAACAGTGCTTACTGTCCTGCCCAGTGGCAAAGAAACATCAGGGCCCCATTCCAGCATCACAAAACTATTCAAGGCGGACTGGATTTGGAATTCAGAGACAATGAGTTGATAACTGTCACAGTCCACCCCTTGGCTACTCTACTTGCATTTGACCATTCTACACAGATCTGAGCTTCTGTACAACAAAAAACAAGTCTTCCATGCTTTCTACAGGTGAAAGTATTCTTGCCCTTCCCCCCAAATGAAACAACACACAGTCCCAAGAGCTATATTATCCTAATCTCCAGTTATATTAATTACTCCTCAAATTTGATAACAGTTCCACTAAATATTCTTTTATCCAAAGATTAAATCATAAAGTGAACTTCCAACAAGTTGTATATAAACTAATAAAAGAAAGAAAGAGAGACAATTTTGGCATTTTCCCATAATCCCTCTATCAGTCTCGGGGAAGATTCTGATTGGCTTGGGTCATGCATGTTAGAATTTTCAAAAGATCTGAGATTTCACCCACCTTACAATTTAATAAATTAGTCTGTTAATATTTTCATGGATGTGCATGGGAAATATGAGTCTGGGTCAGAAACAAAGGTTTTTATTATTCATGACATAGATAGATGAGGGAGGCTGTTGGTCTGTGTTGGTTCCCCACACTTCCAAATCCCATGGGAGAGGTGGAGAGGCTCAGGAAGATGCTGGACATGCATGGTGTTTGTGTTGCAGTGAAGGAACACTGAACCCGGGCACACATCATTTAATGGTAAGCAAGTTTGCTTTTCCTTTGGGCAGGGGGATATTGCTTCACCATGGTTGTCCATTGCAATTACTTTTCCTATGAATTCTAGGTACTTTATATGAGTGAAATCACATACTATTTACACTTTTGTGTCTGACTTATTTCACTTAATGTGATTTTTTAAAAGTTTCATCCATAAAATAGCATGTATCAAAATTTCATTCCTTTTTATTAGCAATATACCATAGTATACAGTACCACATTGTTTTTGCCCAGGCAAATAGCAGGGCCTTGTATTCTTGTTATCCCCAAGCATTACAATCATGGCCCATGGTGGAGTGTCTTCACAAAAATCCATCATGAGCCCTGCCTGAGAGATTCTTGGCCAAATATAAAATTTCTCATGTCAGCCACTCAGATTAATCTGACCAACAGAGGCTGGAACCAAATCTGATTCCTACAGCACTTGAAATTAAGGCTACTAATAGCAGGACTCCACAACACAGTAAGGCTGATTTTCAGTACTTATCTCTCCCATGTCTTTCAGGGTCCCAGGTTCAGACAACTGTGAATAAGTCCCTGAGGAGACTAATAGTTCTTATTTCAGACAGTCACAATGCCATCTAATGCCACTTTAGTGTCCGTTACAACCCACTCAAGGGCATTTAAAAAGACTGATATTTGGTATCACTGATGTAATTACAGTGGGCAATAAAGTGACCCCCAAACTCCATTTCCAGTGAAAGACATTCTATGGTGTTCCCTTCTTTCTCACATACAAATATACTATTCAAAGGGGGCATAGGTTATACTACTTTGAGATTTATTATTAAAGTTTGGTTCACCATTACATTGGTGCTATGGTTCAGATCTGGGATGTCCCCATAATCTCATGTGTTGAAGATTCGGTCTCCAAAGTAGCAATGTTCCAAAGTAGCTTTTGAGAAGTATTGGACCATGAGGGCTCTGATCTCATCATTGGAGTGATCCATTGATAGCTGAATGCATTCGGAAGGTAGTGGAAACTGTAAGCAGGTAGAGCATGATTGGAGTAAATAGGTCACTGGAGGTATGCCCTTGGGGATTATCCCTGGTCCTTCCTCTCCCCTCTACTTCCAGGGTGCCATGAGCTAATCATCTTTTCTCTGCCACATGTTCTTCTGCTATGATGTTCTGCCTTGCCTCAGACCCAAGAGCAATGGAGCCAGCCAACCAGGGTCTGAAACCTCTGACACAATGAGTCAAAGTAAAGCTCTCAACAAATTTTAAAAAATAAAATAAAATAAAAAATGCTGCCTTCTCTAAGTTGTTTTTGTCAGGTATTTTGGTCTCAGAAATGAAAAGTTGACCAACACAATTGGCTTGGTAAATATGATGGTTAATTTTATATGTCAACATGACCAGGCCATGGTATCAACATATTTGCTCTATCATTATTTTGTAGTGTTTTTAGATGAAATTTATATTTAAATCGATGAGCTCTGAGTAAAGCAAATCACCCTCTATTACAGGATTGGAACGTATCAATCAGTGGAAGGCCCAAGTAT